ACCTTAAAGAAGCTCACCAAAACTGGACAGATCACAAAACAAGACCAATGGCGAATGAAATCCAATGGACCAATCCTACTCCGATTCTATTGCACACCCAAAATACACAAGCCAAATATCCCGTTGCGACCATTTGTATCACTCCCAGGAACTCCAACATATAATTTATTCAAAGAATTATACAGAAAACTAAAACACCTAACGGAATCCTGTGATCACTCCATCAACTCTGCTATCTAATTCCCAGAGAAAATCAGAGGCATTCAAATAGATGAACAAGAAATAGTGGTATCCTTCGACGTGACAGCACTATATACCTCAACCGGACAAAAACTAGCAAAAGAAACCATGGAGCAATTACTTAGCAACGACGAACACCTTCCACAACAATCAAAAATGCAACACACATGCTGGATGGAATGCATAAACCTATACCTGACAACATACTTCCAATTCAACGGCCAAATATATGAACAAGTCAAAGGAACACCCATGGGATCGCCAATATCAGGTTTGATTGCAGAAGCAGTGATACAAAGGCTCGAAAACATAATTCTACTAAAGATCAAACCCAAGATTTGGATACGCTACGTCGACGACACATTTGTAATAATCAAAAGAAACGAGTTAGATAAAACTCACAACTCAGTAAACAACGTCTCCAACGACATCAAATTCACAAGAGAAGAGGAATCCGAGAACCAAATACCATTTTTGGACGTCTTAGTCAGGCGAACAACTACAGGAGAATTAGAAACTCAAGTTTATAGGAAATCAACTCACACAGACCAAATCCTGAATTACCACAGCAACAATCCAATAACACACAAAAGGAATTGCATACAAACACTATTGAAGAAGACAAGGACTCATTGCAGCACTCCCACCTTAAGGAAAATTGAAGAAAAATATCTCATGGACGTCTTCCAAAAGAATGGATATCCTCGGAATTTCATCAAAAGACATATACCCCCAAGCCAACCTATCACACCAAAAGCGATCAAGAAAAGCACAAAGAAAATCGCCTCACCTTATATAAAGGATATCTCAGAAACCACTACAAGACTCTTAAAACCTTTAGGAATTGACGTCGTACACAAACCAACAAAATCACTTCACTCAATTCTATGTCAACCAAAAGACTCAACAGCGAAAGAAGATAAAACCAACATCATCTACAAAATAAATTGTAACAACTGCGAAAAACACTACATCGGTCGAAGTGGACGTCCCCTTCGTCTTCGTATCCACGATCACAAGCTAGCCATCAAAAGACATGATATCCACTCCCTCATATCGCTACATACAGACAACCACGGACATCAATTCGACTGGGACAACCAACGTTCAAATATTAGACAGAGGAAACAACAAGAATGCTAGAGAATTTTTAGAAGCTTGGTATTCCAGTGAATCATCAATCAATAGACACATCGAGATAGACAAAATTTACCAACCGATAAGAAAGAAACCTCACATACAAAGGGTCAAAATTCAAGTCAAAGAAACAACCGGTTCCAATACAAGTAACCTAGAAGGTGTGAAAACACACGAAAACAACCAATCACGTCCAAGGTCACCAGGAGAGATGATTAATAAACTCGTGGAGAAATCTAAAAGCTCACTTCAAATTGAAGTGTGCGCTGAAGATGTCACCTAGTAAGGTGATGAAAGCTTCGCAAATCAACTATCCAGCTCAGAGAACACAACTACATCAAAATCATCTACCTGAGCTACAAATCTTCTCTGTCATATCTAAGAGTACTGTTATCATTACTATTAAATATTTCACTGTCTGTAGGTGTCGGTATCCTATTCATACAATTAAATATTTTCGTTGTATATTATCATTTGTCAAAAAAATACAACAACAGAGAGATTATACCAAACGGCTTTGAGTTTGAATATTATTTTTCAGGTTTAAGAAAACTAGAGTGAAGGTGAATGTTTCAGTCTGACTATGTGTCACCGGATCCTCCATTAACGTAGAAAACAAAGTGACGTTACTTTAGGTTGATTATATACACGTTTTCAGTTATTTCTGTTGATGGCCTGATTAGCAGTGGAATCCAAGATGTGCATTTCATCCCATTTGCAACCAGTCAGCTGGATGTACTTGCATTCCCAATGAATGATTTTGTCCCCACTGTGACTCAAATATAGCAGCCTTCTGTTTCAAACTCCAAAGCGACCTCTAGAAGACCAATTGGGCTAAGAGAGCTACCTCCTGTACAACAGGCATAAGTAATTATTTGTTGTTATAGCTAAGTTACCCGGAACAGACTTCTCATGAACACTAGTCTTGGAGCCACATTTATACCGTGTGATGATATTGCCTAGTTGCCCAAGCTGAATTAGAGGGAGCAGGATTCGAACCCGAGGCACAGTGGCTGAATCTCAGTCATTCAGTAAATGGATCGAATTTCTGATAGCTGAATTTCAATTTAATACGTTTACGTGAAAGTTAATCATCAGTGTGAAGTAGGATGATAAGCATGAGATAGATGATAATACTGTTGCTCAATATTGATTTGGGTCAATAATGTGATAAATTACCAGTAATATTGAGAAATTTGTACAGAATGTACATGACAGTTGCACGTGATATGTTATGCCCGATATATGAAATATTTGAAAATGATAAGTCATAAGTTTTATGATATTTTTTTGAGAAATACACCTGAATAAGGTGAGAACATAATTCCTGTGGTATAGACACGTGGACAAAGCTGTCAGATATGAGAAATGAATTATTGGTTCTGACATTCACCCCCTCTAAAAGAACTGATACTGCCAAAAGTCAGTGGGTTGACTTTGGTCTTCCACTTGAAATTCTGTCATGTGGGCAAGCGTTCATAGCCATTATCAGGTAAGTCCTATTCACCCATTGTCTTGACGCCACGGCACTGGTGTTCCTCACAAAAATGAAAAGGCAAATGAAAACGACCACATTGTCGGACATGCAAGTATACTTAGGAGAGCTGAAACACCCTCATTGCAAACTTATGGTGTAGATGGGCTTCAGAATCCGAAAGAATTGAATGGTATGTGAACCTCTTGTGGTCAGTGAAAGTTATGAGGATGTAGCTCCTAACGATACCCTACTGCTTTGTGGATCAAAATTCAAGTGAAGGGCTCCGGATGTGGCCACCTAAGACAGCTCCCTGATTAGGTCTCGGAGTCTGGGGAGTATCCCAACCCTCACACAAACTCTGGGATTTTGTATTGCGCATCTTTTTTATCAGCTTGCACTATTACAATATTATTTTACAAAGTTAGTTACTGTGACAGTTTATAGTTGTTCAATTTTAAGAAAGTGATAGAAATGGACTGACAGATTGACGAGTTTCTATGTGAAAGTCGTACGTCAAAGAAGCATAATGATATATATCAAACTAAAGATAGTCAATCATTGGCGAAGTGAAGATGTCATTGCTTTCATAAAACTATCAACATCATAAGTGAGTTTGACGATTTCGTACCATGTGTACTGGTATTTGCACTGAAACGGCATGAATTCATTGAATCTGGCTTTTACGTTTATTAAACGTTACTAAACAGATTTCTTTATGCTATAATAACGTCCCATTTGAGACATTAATATAGAACTTACTCAAGTTACAATTACGGATTCACAAAGCAGTAAACACAGTAATGATCTCTAAATTTTTAGCACTGTTAGATTGTCATATGTTTTTTAATAATATTCTTCTAAGTATGATAATATGAAATGAATAACTCGTGAATGGAAACCAGCTCTAAAGATAAACTATCGCATTTGACCGCTTCTATGTGTATCTACCAATTGACTTGCTTATGTGAAGTGAGCGAGATATATAGATCATTCGATTTCGTGTCTTCTCTAAATAGGGTCAAGGATCATTATCCCGCTTGGCTACGAACAGGTAACAGTGGATCACTATGGAGTGCTATGACTGAACATATATTCAATACTGGTCAATCAATATGTAAGGAGAATTCATTCAGAGTCATCTACAAAGTCAAAAGAAGCCTCCCGATAACGGTAAGCTTCCATATACTACTTTTCATTACCGAGGCCTTAGAGATCCGGATAGAAAACCATGATTTATGTGCACAGAAGAAACTTTCCCATCCTCTCCTTTAACCTTGGGTATAATTCTAAGTTCTACTACTTTGTTAATGTTTTTTTCCGAATTTTTGTTATAACATCTTAGTAGCATCTTCTTCTTAACCAACCATTTATTTACTCTTTCTACCTATTACATAATTTGTTTTGCCCATGTGTTTCCATTAACATCCTACTTCATATTACGCAACCTTTGTCAGTACATATCAATTTTGATTATTCACAACATTTTAGAAATATTTAGATGACATAGACACTAACCCTTACTAATTTTTATTTTATTTTTGTTTGCCAATCGTAATGTACACACACACACACAAAATAACTTAATAATGGAAAAGATTTGTAACTCAGGTGGATGATTTGCATTTAATAGTGTTCTCTGAGCTGGTTGGTTTAGTTGCGGAGCTTTCGTCGTCTTTCTGGACGACATCTTCAGTGCAGTATTTAAGATGAAGTGAAATGATTTAAATCTCTTCATGAGTGATATAATTGCGTCTCCCGGTAATACAATACATATCTAAAGATGGTTACCCGGGGACGCAATTATATCACTCATGAAGAAATTTAAATCATTTCACTTCATCCTAAATACTGCGCTGAAGATGTCGTCCAGAAAGACGACGAAAGCTCCGCAACTAAACCAACCAGCTCAGAGAACACTATCAATTGCAAAATAACTTAGCTATGTGAATGAATTCGGCGCCGAAAAAATATTCTTCGCTGAACTTTTTGTTTGTTATATTCATGTCTGGATGGGTATTTTGCGGGAAGCTAATTTCATCGTCGTGCTTATGGTTCTTTCTGTGACAGTACAGTTTAGATTTCAGATATTTTGTGAACTCGAGGATTTTTAGAATATTTTTTGAATATACATAGAGATAATGCTTACCGTATCTTGAGCGTGATCTGAATCACCAAGATCTATACCATACTTTACATCAGCTCTCCATGTTGCAGTAATATGAAGTTTTGTTAAGAAAACTTTACGAAATTCCTAGAGTAAGCATAAGAAAAGAGATAAAATAAAGAACATAAGAATTACCCAGTTCACAGTTAGTTACACAAAGTTTCATGATATTTGAACTTTTATTTTACAAAGAAATCCACGCAAGTTTTTTTCAAAGTAGTGCAAGAATACTATCCTGCGTGGGTACAAGGAAGTTAGATTGGAGCTGTAAGAAATTCTATAAATGAATTTCAACCACATTTTTTAGAACCAACTATGAGACTAAAACAAGGCCCACCAAAATCATTACGTATACGCTTCCTTTTTTTACTTCTGAGGCTTTACCGATCGATTTAGAGGACTGACTTCAGTTTCTTTGTTCAACTAGGTGTGTGAATCAAATGCTGCAAATCCTGTTCCGTCTAGTTGTACATTTATATAGTAAAATTGTCTTGAAACAAAAACTAAGGTGTAATATTTTCAAGTGTTTGTTTGAAGTTTGATCGCGAATTGAGTTCAGTCAGTAAACCACTGAAAACTAGAGACTACTGAACAGCTATTTCGTCCTAGTTTGGGACTCACGCCAAGGATCGGATCCAGAATCTTCAGGTAATGAGGAGAACTGGAACGGAAACCAATAGTCAGTCCATGAGTGGTAACGCCTTCTAATTTGAAACATATAGCGCCACCGTCTGCCGATGTCATCGGCAGTGGTTGGGATGGTCAACCAGCTTGCTTTGTAAACTGAAGGTTCTGAGTTCGATCCCCCGGGGGGGGTCATAGATGCGTGCTGCTGAACAGTTTGAAACTAGAGTTAAGCAATTGCCCAGTGCACCCCATGGATTTCAATCGTTCTGTAACCGATGGTAGTTCGTGATCAAACTTAAAATGTAACTGCTGAGTTGCTTAGTGAATTTTAACTGTGCGGTCATGTACATCTCAAAAAACTTTTAAATGAATTAGATCTCAATTGAAACATGATAAGTTAAAATAAATAATATTTAAAGTAAGAAGGCATTGTTCATCAGTTAGCTTATCACTGACAACCATCCGTGATAGATGTAACCAGATTCGTGCCGGTCATTTTTTGATAATGTCACGAAATTTGAGTAATATACATTTTGGTTACATAAATATTTTCTCAAATCTGTTGAAATAAATCAGTGATTTTGAATTAAACTTGATTTTGTTTCAAATCACCGAGGGCAAGGATATCACAAATCGCAAATCAACCTTGCCACGAGCTTTCGTTACAGCATATTTGTATAGACAGAATGGAGGCGGCCAATTACAACTTGAATCTACCCAAAGTAGTTGATTTTGTATTACGAGTCTACATCAGGTGTTTTTCCCAAAATTTTTTTGGACGCAGTTAGAATTTCTGTTATTACATCTGGTATATCATGCATGAAAACACCTCACGACAGGCATTATCCTCACTGGTTATTGATTTTGTGAGGAATTCAGTTATGACACCAATAGTTCAATGTCCAATATTTATGACCATTGAATAATTCAACCACCCAAGTTGTAATATCAGCAGATAATAAAAGTTGGGTTGTAAAAACTACACTTTGTAGTATAATTCACCACCACATTTGTTTTTATCACAGGTGAAAGTAAGAAAAGGATCTATAAGAATATATTCACAGTTCACCATCTGACTGTGTGCAACTTTAAAAATTTATCCAAGTTGTTACATAAACATGTTAGACGATTTGTAAAGCCTATATACCAGGCAGGCTTGTGCTGAAAAAACATCAGAAAATGTGGCGTGTGCTACTGACAACATTTATCAGTAGTATATAAAGAGGCGTTCATCGCCATAAAAAAGCATCAAATAGCAGGGGGATAGATTTAATGTCAGAGAAAGTAAATGATACACAGTTGCGAAGATACATGGGAGATGTGAAATGAAACAAAAAGAAACACAATATGAAGAAAGGGTAGAAGTAGCACAACACGAAGATCTGTGCAAATGACTATTTGGCGATAAGGTGTACATAATTTCTTTATATACCGATACCAGAATGCTCGCCCACAAACCATACATCAAGTGTTCCACGGTTCAGATCTTGGGCGAAGTGCTCCTACAGCTCGCTAAACCCGGTAAAGAAGGAAGACTGGACGTGAGGGTAGAAACTCCATCCCACAAGAGTGACACCACTGCCACTGAAACTTCAAAGATGAAGCTTGAAGCCCTATGTTCCACTTGGAACATAGGGCTTCAACGACACATCTCAACTTTGCTGTGTTTTCTGCCGTCCTCTTCAGCTGGGTCCACGATTGAACAAACTGTCTCATCTCTTTTTCACACGATCTCTTCCATGTCACCCTCGCATTGAAGACTCACTCGTCGCTTCCAATTTGGATTCCATTCGAGCATTGGCCTGGCGTGCGATGTCATTCGGCGGCCTCCTCAATGTATACCCAACCCATCTCCACTTTCTCATGCATATTTCTTGAGCGATCGGCTTTTGGTTGGTTTGTTCCCACAGTTTCTTGTTACTTATTCTTTCCGGCCTAACATTTGATCTTCAGTATGGAGCAAAGACAGCTGTTGATGAAAGTCTGCAGTCTGTTGGAAGTCCTTTTCGTGAAATGCTAAGATCCTGACCCGTATAGAAGAATCGATTTCACATTGGTGTTGAACGTAAAGTAATACAATAATAAAAATAATGGTAAAATCCTGGTTGGTAACTTGATTTTGAAAATCAGTTGGCAAAATATTAGACTGGTAACCTTAGCGTCGTCACTGGTGAGAGCCCTGCCCTCAACCACTAATTTTATAGTTTCAATCATTCTCTAACATTCTGAAGTAATTGAAATAAAAATCAAAACTAGACTCCGCGCCCCTTCATATTCACTTCTAATGGTATTGATTTAAGAAGTCTTGGCTGAGCATCCAGTGTAATGATGAAGTGATAAGTGGGCAATGCTCATTTACATCATTAATCATGCAAACTATCGGTGAGTGTTCAACAATTTACAGAAATTTGACACGAAAACTTATTGTATCAGGCAGAATTCAAATGAATTTAAATCTTGTGTTTTTTACCTAGTAAAACAAAAATATGACTGTCTACCTTTATTTAGCAGAGTACTGTTTATCAGATTCAAATAAGTGAGTTGATTATTTCAAGCTGATATTTAAATACTTTGCATAGATATCTTGATAATATCATAGATCACGCCTTAATATTATGTGGTAGAAAGTAATATTAGAACTCGTGAGGCATTGTAATCATTAAAATGCAAGAGTTTGGAACTCATTGGGCTATTTAATTTACTGTAAAAATATTCTATGTTTTAATATATACGTAAAACTTGGGCACTGTGGTAGTAAGCATTTCCATATTAGTTTGTTTAGTAGATATATCATACAGTCAGTGAAACAGTATTATTTACTGGATGACAAAGTTTCGAACAAAATTTATCGTTCACAATCGTATCACTTATAATCACATGACTTCGAAACTTCAGTTTTATAGTTCTCTTTGTTCTTTCCTATTTGTCGTTTGACTTCCCATGGGAAGTTAAACACCAGTGTTTACGAGAAGCCCGTACACCCAAACAGACATTTGAACTTCCGATCACCCCATCCTATGTCAGTGGTATAGGATTGGTGAAATGTTTAAGTAATAGAGCACAAAAACTAAGTAGTACCAAGGAAAATCTAAGACAGGAAGAGAGACATATAAGAGAAGCTTTGAAACTTAATAGTTACCCTGATAAATTAGTCAGATTGTATGTGGGAAAATGCAAAAATAAAATAAATAATGATAGTAATAATAGTGATGATAATGATAATAATAGTGGTAATATTAATGACGACATGCATGTCAGATATGCGCAAGACAACACCAACAATAAGGAACCTAAATCATCAGTAGTAATTCCATACAAAGAAAGAACCTTGGAAACCTCACACAGAATTTTTATAAGGCAGGAATAAAAGTGGCACTCAAACCCACAGACTAAATTAGAAACAAGCTTTGTCGGTCAAAGGAGCCTGTCAGTGGAGCGAATTTAGCAAAACAATTTAGTTTATATAGTGCTCTGCAATGACTGTCAGGTCAAATACATAGGTCAAAGTAGTCGAACAGGTGCAATCAAACTAGCCGAGCATAAAAACCCAGTAAACTCTAGATTAATTGACCTGACACTAAGATAAAAAATTCGGAGAATAGTTCGGTTATACTACTCACTATGTGCAGTTACACGCAACCATACAATAGGATGGATGGGATAGGATGACAGTTTTAAATTCTAATGTCACAGGGTGCAGGGAGGAAGAGATTGATAACGGAAGCTTTGTTTATCGAATAAACTGAAAAGAATATGTGTAAAGGAATGATTCAGCACCTGTCCCAGATATCTGGAAAACTCTACTACCCATACGACAAATAGGAGAAGACAAAGAAAACTATAAAACTCAAGTTTCGAAGTCGTGTGATTATAATTGATGAAATGATTATGAACAATAAATTTCGTTCGAAACGTTATTCAATAAATACTATTACTGTTTCACTGTGTGATACATCTAATGAACAAACTAATATGGAGTCGTTCTGCAATTTGTAAACTGGAAGTTTTGTAATCCACGGGTTATTATTTCTACCATGGCAGTATTTGGAAAAACTAAAATTGAATACCTCACAAGTTAGATTTGTAATTCGCAAATAATTTGTAGGATGCAGTTTTACATAAATATGCGCTTGCTTACCTGATTACCACATTTGTGGTATCAAGCAGATCACATATTATGATCTGAGTTATTTAGGTTTCCAGGAGAAACTGCGGTGAAATTCCACCCATTGAACTACGTAAACTGTAAATGAATCTGCAAATTGTGAATTACATTTGTGGAATTACCAGTTTGCCTAAGTGGCTACTCAGAAATCGGGTGGTTTGAAGTGACTCAGGTCACTAAGCCGAATCAAAAGGGGTACAACACCGCTGATGACCCCAACTCTAAACGGCCGAAGCGGCCGTTCGGTGTTTAATCCCTCCGATCTGACTGACTAGCAAGCACTAATGGTTGAAGTGGGTTATATACAACTACTCAGCTGAGACAATTAGTAGTATATAGTCTTAAGAAAATAGTTCAGTTCAAGAAGGACAAAAGAAAATGCCAACAAAATTTTAAGTGCATGCAATAAACAGAATGAAATTTTAGAAGTAAAAGAAAAACACACTAACTTCACGAAATGTATTATCCCAGAGTCTAGCAATAAATTCAAGTGTTATCGGTCCAGCTTTATACGATAATTTGCCTAAATCACAAACAATTGGAACACATCGTAGTCGACCATTATAACAACTCTAAAAAGGGAATTAAATTTGAATAATTTAGATTTGAAAACTAAACAATGAATTTTATGCATTGTTAATAATAAAGGATAAACACGAAAAGGATAAAAGGGCAAATACAAATACAAAAATACAAAGCAGGTCGGGTGTGAGGACAAATTACTCGCCACTGAGGACATTGGCTAGTGGTTGCGCTATGTCGTGGCTTAGCAGAAGTTAGAATTCATTAACTAGCCATTTGATCGCGTCTCAACGGCTTAGTGGTCTGCGAGCTTGCCTTGTAACCTAAAGGTCATGGGTTCGAACCCTGGCAGTAGATGCATACCCTTGAAGAGTCCCAAACTAGGACGAAACAGCTGTCCAGTACTCACAAGCTTTCCAATGGTTCTGTGACTGATTTCAGCTCATGATGAGACCCTATAACCGAATACGGAGATGATACCATCTCTGGTCGCCTAATCTCTTGAAACAAAATGACAAATATTTTGGTAACGACAGTGCAAAATTAGGGGAGAAAAAGTGTGCTAAATACATTATTTGGTGACATGTGAGTTAAAAGAGGATGAAAAACAAACGATGGATATTCTGTACTAGGAGAGTATTTCACTTAAGAAAATATTGTATGAGACGCTGCTGGATTAGTGAAAGTGATTAAGGTGTTTTGAAAGTCACTGTTTTTTTAAAATATATTTTACTCTGAATGTAAATGTGAAGTGGCGAATATACTTACAAGTTAAGAGACTTGGAAACTGATATAACTAAACGGCCAAGCTGCATATACGTGAGTCCGTGGTTCAGTGGTAAAATACTCGTCAACCGCTAACCTGGTCCGGTATTCAATCTCCAACCGACGCACTCCCAAATCTTATTTAACTCGGTAAAAGGAGAAGGTCGGGTGTGAGGCTAGGAACCCACCAACTTGATGGAAATGATAAACCATAGACCAGAGGACTACGGATTTATCCGCACGATACGATGCATGTTTACTAAATGGGGTGTAATACGACTGATAGATGATGTAGAATTTATAGTGGAGTCGTCTTCATCACCACGTCTTCTAGTTTGGCGTGTAAAAATTTAAAAGGTGATTCACCTTGTACCCAATTGACTGGATAATGCTGGTCAATGAAAAGCTAGACACCCAGTCTGTTAGCGATTTCATTGGCCACTAATTCATCACAACGTTACTGAGTTCTTCCTTAATTGCGTCACATGTGCCTAAATCAAGCAGCCTCCTCTAATACCATGTTCACCCCTAGTGCCCATGCTAACCGAAGCCCCTAATCACCGGATGTATATAGATATCTTGGAACCACTTACAGTTTCGAGAAGAGGCAACCGATAAATCCTGATCTTGGTTGATTACTTCACCAAATGGTGCGAAGCTGTACCATTGCAGCAACAAGAGGTAATGACGATCGGTCGTGCATTCATTGAGCACATGGGTGTCTTGTTTTAATGCCCCACTCTATTTACACTCAGATCAAAGTCACCTCATTTCCCACATGTGTAACACCTGCGTCATTCGGAAGACTCACACTACATCAAACCATCCTCAAGAAAACGGTTTGGTGGGATAGACAAACAGAACAATAAAGAGCATATTTCGTGCCTTTATTCTTCACACACAGGAAAACTAATGGGACGACGTTCTACCTCAGTGCTTGCTTGCATACCGTTCTTCAGTACACTCCACAACGGGGTTTTCTCCTTCTCTGCTTCTGTTTGGCCACAGACTTCGCCTTCTAGACGAAATTCAAACACTGATTTTACCATTCGAAAGAAATGAGTGTATTCTTGATGTTCGAGATCTCCGAACCGACTCAAAGTTGCCTGTCACCTGACGAGTACTCACCTACAGTCTTCTAGGTAGCGACAGAAGAGTATCTATTATCGGCTCACGCGCGGATCCACTTATTCAGTCAGTGATTATGTCTAGCTTCATCGACCGCCAGTTCCTGCCGGGTCGTGTCCCAAGTTTTACGCCCCATGGCAAAGGCCGTATGAGATCGTCCAACACTGACCTCCAGCTACATATGTTCTATGGAACCTGCAGTGACCTAAGGACAACGTCATTACTACGCATTATAGCCAACTGAAAACATACCATCCAGCTACCCTAAAAGAATCGTAAGATTCATCCCAACCATCCCTTGGCACCTATCACTATAAAGTGGCACTTGAAGGAGGCGTTGCATATCTAATACCACAACCAGACACTAAGGTCAGCGCCTCGAGAGAAGAGGAGGTGATGTGACGAAATAAAAGCTGTTATAGATAGAGTATTTAACATATTTATATAGAGAAAAGTGGTTCAAACACATCTAGCGAGGAAATTCACCAATCAAAATTTACTCTGCTTCAACTTTGACTAATAGTTAAACTGTCAGGCAACCAATTAACTTTATCTTTTCTACACAAATACTGTGCTGGACCAAAGTTATGTACTGTTTTTCACGTTCTCATACTTGCTTCATGTACTTACAGGGCTTCTGTGTTAATACATCTTTCTTCTTGTTTAAGTGTATATTTTACACTAACTAGCCAACCAAAAGAATCTACAAAGAATTTTAGAACGCTAGTGGTGGACAGTGTATCATCACCGTCACTATTAATAGTCTTCCTAACAATCTATCAAACCAGTAGATTAAGAACTATAAAAAAATATTCGTAGAAGTTTTGTAGCGCAAGTATATTTTATAATACTTACAATTGTAGTCATTTTCCGATCGATAGACTTTGAATCTGTTAAACGATCAGGTACTGGTTCCAGTATCATTTCATTTGATAACGGTGGATATGAAGATGGATGTTCTATGGGTAAGTCGACAGGAGCAGTTCGTACAGGTACACCATCAATTGATTTTCTTAATCTAGAAAATACCTTTAAAAAAAGAAAAAAAATGAAAATAGAAACTAACAGTGAAGCGGAGTTTTTTTTTCAATTTTACAAAACAAGGTTTGAAAGAATATACATAGAGGGGGATAAGCAGTTTAAAATTCAAATGTCTTGGCAGTTTGACAAGTTTTAGTTTCAATTGATAGAAGTTGCAACATGAATGCAGACATCATTTTCTAGAGATTGAATGTTTCAACAACGGGGATTGATATAATTACCAAGAAATTATGTATATGCATAGGGGTGGTAAAATTATTCTTCATTAAGCATTTATTACTTGTGATTAAACAGAAGTTATACGACAAAGTATACAGCGATTGGTCATTAGGGTGCAAGCAATGTCATTTATCTAGTCATCGGTATCAGTGGAGACTGAATTCCATTAGTCAAAGTTTCCACTATAGTCACGAAGCTGGGTGGCTTGCTATTGTGATGCACTCTGAATTTATATTAGATGGTTGGAGGTAGTCGGCAGGTCACCCTGTACCAACCAATCGCCTCCACTATCTAATAACAATACAACAAAGTATGCTGGAGTTATTGAGAGAAAACAGCCAAAATTAGTTAATAATACATTAATTACAGTTTAAAATGGTATATAATTTTTCCTTTGGATCCCGAGTGGAAAATACGGCTTCAACAAAATATCTCCACATTTTCCTATTTTCTGCTGTCTTCGTCAACTGGCCCCACCATCGACCATAAACTATCATCTACTCCACGTCACCCTCGGGAAAACCAATCGTCGTTTCCCACTCGGGTTCCACTCGAGAGATGGCTTGAAGTGTGATTTTACCCAAGGGTCTCCCCAACGTATACCCAACCCAACCCATCTCCATCTACTCCTACATATTTGTTGAACGATGAGTTCTTGGTTGATTTTTTTCCACTGCAGAGTTTCTCGTCTCTAATTCTTACTGACCGACTGGCTATTTCATCTTCAATATGGAGCCAGCCAGAGAAGGAGGCAGTTGTTGGTAAAAGTCTGTAACCTGTTGGAAATCCTTCTCATGACCCACAATGCAAGCTTCTGACCTATATAGGAGAACTGACTGACTTAACGTTGGTGTTGAAAATCTGAATCTTGTCCTTTATACTGGTTGAGTCAGTGGAGAAGGTTTCCAAACTAGTTTCAGGTTGATGTAGGCATACCTTGCCTTCCCTATTCTGCCTAATTTTGATATCTTCGGCAGATACGCCCTGATGACGAGTACCAACTAACACGAAACCTAGGTCAAGTAAGGCTTCCTGCCGATTGCCTCTAACCATCAAATCAATGTGCACAGTGATGGCCAACTACTTAGAATGGTGGCCACATTGAAAACCTGACTGATAGAATTCAGTGTGCACCAAAGAAAGAACCAGACACATCACACTAGTAACTAGTGTCCAATCAAATTAACTGTATTATTGAATAAAAAAAATAGATCAATAATAACATTCATCATATAAGAAGATATGAAGCATTAGTAGTTATTTCATTGTGAATTATAAAATATTCAGTTTGAACTATCAGATCAATCTTAAATGGCAGGCCTTTTTTAACTAGGAGAAATTTCAAATTCATCATGAATTGATGTCAGTGAAAAGAACTACGGAATACCAGGTACGTATTAGGCAGTTGTTTTGTCACAGTTTAAGGCACATCTACAAGTACATACACAAGCCCTCAAAAGAGATCAAACTCAGAGCCTTAAGGTTACACATATTAGTCCTTCAGTTGGGTTGACTAGTGGTACAGTTACAACATTGAATGAAATAGATGTGAAGTTGGGAAACGTATGACCTCTACTGACTGAGACACAAGTCGAAGTCAATTAGTTTAAATTTAGCTGCAATAAACACCTTTAGTCAATTCTTTTATTAGTGAAAATGACTACAACAAGTTGTATGAAATTAAACATACTGAGTAAAAGACAATATGAAATCGATGTCAACGATAAACAACTATTCTATTTGAAGTTCAGCAGTTATAAATCAATGTATAATATACATCATTATGAAATCATCGCTAAATAACGAGTAGTGTTATTCATTGGTTATATAACTAGAAGGCTGATAACATTGCAATTCTACGCATCATCAACATCATTATCACAGAACAAAGCATAGAATGGCAGTCAAACCCTTACCTCAACTTCGTCGACTTCGAAAAGGCTTTCAATAGACAGCGTTGACCGAGAAGTAATTTGGAAACTACTTCAACACTATGGAGTGCGATGCGCAAATCTTTGTCAAACTCATTCAACAGTTATATGATAATGCCACATGCTAGGTGATCCACAACAGAAAACTCAGAGAAGCTTTTGAAGTGAATACAGACAGGAATAAGACAGGACTACCTATTATCATTATCATGATATTCTTAATTGTGGTGGACTGGATTATTCGTCAGACTGTGAGTGGAGAGAAAGAGAGAGAGAGATAGTGAGGAGAAGACAGGAATACTCTGGAATGACAGATAAGAAGACTCTAGAAGTTCTGGATTTCACGTGGGATGATTTATGCTTAATGTCACACACACACACAAATTCGAAGACTTGCAGGCAGACGGCGAGAAGACAGGCCTCCAGGTCAACATAGAGAAGATTCAGGTGATGTCGATAACCAACCAACACCAACAGAGACAGAAACATTAACCAGCACCAATCACTATCAACAGAAGAAAGAAGTTGACAGAAGTTACTTCCTTCACTTATCTAGGAAGTATCATTTCAACCACAGTCAGAACAGATGAAGATGTCAAAACCAGCCAGTCAGAATCGGCGAGGCGAGATACGTCTTCATCAGCCTGAAACCAGTTCGGAAATCTTCTGCACTCCGCCTCAGCATAAACAACAAGATTCGAATTCTGTTCAAGGCGAATGTGAAGCCAGTCAGTTCTTCTATGTGCATCAGAGACTTCCACCACTGCACTCGCTTCACGAAAAGCATTTCCAACAAGGTACAGACTTTTGTTAGCACCTGCCTTCTCTGGTTCTATATTGGATATGAAATGGTCAGATGGCCAGAAACAATTAGCAGCAAGAAACTCTGGCTGGGAACAAACCAACCGAGAGCTGATTGCTTAACAAATATGGGGAAGAAAACGGAGATGGATTGGGATCAGTCTTAAAAGGCCGATTTCGAGTGGAACCCGAATGAGAAACGACGAGTTAGGCATGGTTCCAAGGTTCACATGGAGGAGATCGTGTGGGGAAGAGGAGTTGACAGATGATGGGCAATCATGGGGACAGCAGAAAATAGGATAAAGTGGAAATGTGTTGTCGAAGCCGTACTTTCCACTTGGAACCCAAGGGAATAATAATAGAAACTAGAAGGTTCATTAAACTTCTAAGTTTATGATCTACAAAACCGTCTGATGACGGGTAATTGAATGACCTTTATGTCAATTCAGTTTTAAGTTATCATTGAGTAACCAAATTAGAAAATAAGAGAAAAACATGCAACTAGACTTCTACTTTTAATTAATGGGTTTTAGTATACCACGGATAACATAGTCATCAAAGCAGATTCTCGAAATTGATCATTTAAACCCTGTCTTATAACTGACACCTTGCATACGGTTCATGTAAACATAGTTTCTGAACATAATCCTAGATAGCGTAGCAGCTATGAGAACAAATCAATTATATATCACGATTTTTTAGTGGTTTTTACTTCATGATACGAGTTTCATTGAGAAGATAAGAGCAAAAACAACAGGAACTCACTCTGTATTTATGTGGATTGACAACTTTCTCTAATGTTCTAGAATCACAAACAACACTAGTTGAATTTTCTGCTGATTGATCACCTGGAATTGAAAGTGTATGTTGTATAACATAGGATTTTCAAGAAGATAAAGCAAGTATTTCCCATGTGGTTCATTGATAAATCCAGAGAATTCAAACGGCCAATCAATAATTAAACGAGAAGCTGGTATCAAGCTATGCTTACGTAGATTTCTTACCTTTAAAGCATGAAAAATAAAATAAAACAATAACAGATAAATTAAATACATAAACACTATATTGCATATGTATATGTATATATATCCTACAGTTTGTCAACTCTTACATCTTACCTATTCTTCTTTACTGTTCACCCTTATTCTTTCCTTGGTTGCTTAAAAAAGACTATATCATACGTCGTAGAACTCTGAAGACTGTCAGTAACTAGGGCGAGTAGTGGTATCTCACTGGACTATATCGTTAACATCGTCATTGATAGGTACTTTCAATTTCATGTAACAAATTTGCTAAAGGGATTTTGTCAGGCTGTGAGCATCCACTTTATCCCCGCAGCTTTCACCATCCATCTTCTCCTCATGTACAAGTCATTTCAAAAGTCTTCACGTTGTAACAACAGAAGAGAAGGGCCAGGCAACAGATCCTTTTATTACGGAAATCAACACGTATTTATATAAATTTCACATAAATTATTATAGCTTAGTCAAGTAGACAAACGCAGGCTTCTGACTGGTTGTTTCGGGAAACATCGAAAAGTAGAGCCATCTATCTGCGAATCATATTTGCCCACGTTTAAGTTTGGTGTGATTGGTTGTTGAATCAGCCTTGTTCATATTTTCTCACGGCCAATATAAGGGACCTAGACATTGACGTTGATTAATGTCTACCAATTGGCTAGCAGGCTGCTCTCACCACAACGTGAGCACGTCTAAGTATAAAAATTCCACGATACCATATTTGGCGGCACGTATTTTATGTGAGGAAAATAATATCAGGCACGAACTAACTAACCTTCTTTCCACTGATAATTAAACCATTTTCCTCATTCTTATTCCACCAAACCTTATTGATATTATTCCTCTTATATTTATAATCCTCTCAGTTGTTTTTGGTTTATTTTCTAAGTGTAAATATCATTTAAGCTGCGTTATAATTGTTATTATTTTTGTTTTTCCCTTCACCATGTTATATCAAGAGAACATTCGATTCAATACTCTTTAATATGCTAAAATTTCCATACTGTATCGACAATATTGTTTGATCAAACTCACTGCTATTAGAGTTATTGTTCTCATTTTATACTCCGTTCATTTTTAGCTTTATTCCTATTGTAAATGTGGACAACTTCTTGCGGTTACTTTCATTGATATTTTGAGTAAATTGGATGCAATATTGTGACAATTGTTGAGAATTCCATGCTGTGTAATAAGGACTGCTTTTAGAATAAAGCAGATTATTATTATATTGTCAAAGTCGAGACGGGATATCTGCTGTACTCAGCATTAGAAACACGATTCTGATTCTATCCAACACTAATGTCAAGTCAAGCACTGCTTCTCTATGATTCAGAGACTTGGTGCTCACGTCACGAAAAGCACTTCTAACAGGCCTGCTATAGGCTTTCATCAACAGCTGTTTCCACTCCATTTTGAAGACTAATCATCATATAGTCGGATAGGAAAGGTGAGCAGCATGGAACTCTGGCAGGCAACAAATAAATGAACAAGTATTCCAAAGGAAATAAGGACAGATTGAACATACGGTGAAAAAACTAAGTACCCTTAATAAATTCAGAGAGTGTTATTAGGAAGACGGAGATTATCCGAAAAATATGATGTATTTTTGTGATATATTTTGAGAAATCTGGTAACACATTTATTTGTCAAATCAATTTCTTTGAAAAATAAAGGATCAATTAAAATAAACAACCTGATAAAGGAACTGAGAGTAGAATAATTAAGTCTACATTGGGTAATGTAATTAAGTAAGGATTAATAAGGCAGTTTAAGAGTAATAAAAATAAATTGTTTTTGTGCACACACTGTGGTAGGGCTTAATTTTATGAATAGCAATCGCATATTAATATATGCGTAAAACTTGGGCACTGTGGTAGTAAGTTATTCCATATTAGTTTCTTTATTAGATGTATCACACAGTGAAACACGATGTTTCGAACACAATTCATCACTGTTCATAATCATATCAATTATAACCACACGACTTTGAAATTTGAGTTTTATAGTTTTCTTTGTTCTCTCATATTTGTCGTTGTTGGGGTAGTAGAATTTTCCAGATATCTGGGACAGGTGTTTGGTTCGATAAACAAAGCTTCCGTTATCAATCTCTCCCTCCACCCTGTGACATTAGAATTTAAAACTGTCATCTTATCCCATCATCCTACTGTATGGTTGTGTGTAATTGCATGTAGTGAGTGTTATAGCTGGACTATTCTTCAGATTTCTTATCTTATTCAGGTCAACTTACCTAGATTTTGCTAAGTTTTTGTGCTGCGCTGGTCTGACTGATTCTAATGATTTATATTCCTTGCGCATGTTTGACATGCATATCGTCATTAACATTACTATTATAATTTTATTTTATTTTTTTGATTACAGCTTGATTCCACACTGTATTTTAGGTACAAGTATGGAATTTTCAGCATGTGATATCGGTAGCCCAAATTTCGCAGGCCAACCATAGGTATCAAGTGTGCGTCGGCAGGGAATCGAACCTCGGACCATGTGCATGGTCGGCGAGAGTCCTAACCACCATCATTATTTATTTTATTTTTACATTTCCCCACATACTTTCTGACTAATTTATCCGGGTAATTATTAAGTTTCAAAGCCTCACTTCCTGTCTTAGATTTTCCTTCGTACTACTTAGTTTCTGTGCTCCATTACTTAAATATTTGAAACTAATATGGAACAAAAATCCCCTCTGAGCATTTCAGTTAGAACTTTCAATGATATACTAGTCAAGCTCTTCGGTGAGAGTTGATATTTGATGGAGATGACAGTGTACTTATATGAACTTGTTTCTACTTTATCATTTGACCTCAACTTCGTCCTGTGTTAGTTACCACCTTCCTTTTCTTGAGTTTCAGATATCGACAAATTGTATGCTAAACAACTTTTAGGTTTAGTCTCGTCAGCTAAAGCTTGCAAATACTTCATAATGGTGGAGGGTTATTGTTTATTAGTTATCATGTCATAGAAACATAAGTTTCGACTTGACAATATTGACTACTTATGAGGGTACAGTATGGATAGTTATAAACTATCAAATGTAGCTCAGGAAGAAGATAATAGCGAAAAGAAATTCAGTCACTTGTGTATTCCCAGTTGAGTGCATTATTCTAAAGTTGATTCTTAAGTGAAGAAAAAAATACCGATGTCAGCTTGTTGTAATGAATGAATTGATGAGTATGGTCAACGATATCAATTCTTATTTAATTATTATTCCTCGTGAGATTGTACTCTGATTTTGCCCCAGTGGAAAATTGCTTCTGTAGTATCGTGGTTAAGATTGAAGCTATCTTCTAATATTTTCTCTTCTCATCTGACGTTTCTACTTAATTCACAAACCTTATAACAACTAAGTAGCGGTGATTTTTTGAATTCACTACATGAGATTATGTAGATGTGTAACAACAGAAGACAAGGGCCAGACAACAGATCGTCTTATTATGAAAATTAACACGTATTTATATATTTCACATACATTATTAAAGCTTATGCAAGTAGACAAGTGCAGTCATCTGATTGGTTGCTTATCAGAAGTTAGGCAGACAAACGCAGGCTTCTGATTGGTTGTTTCGGGGTTCCTCGAAAAATAGAGTTCTCTATCTGCGAATCATATTTTGCCACGTTAAGTCTGTTGTGATTGGTTGTTGAATCAGCCTTGTACATATTTTCTCACGGCCTGCTCTCACCACAGATGTACACAGGATAGATTTACTGCAGTCATCGGTTTCATAGCACACAATAGTGCCATCGCCAAATCATGTCATCATTGAAATCTGCAACAGATAGTTTAAGCCACGTAGGAGGGTGTAGACTTCCTGTCTGGGGTCATCGGGACGGTGAACACCAATGGCTGGGGAAAATTGGTGATATGGCTCAAAATCGTTTTCAGTCATGGCGCAGATGCATCCAGTCCTTGTGACTTATAATACCCAATAAAACTGTATTGTTCTTTGATATTACTATTCTTTTTGCATAGTATCTCTGTCTACTGTCTCTATTTTGCATTTCATTTTACTTTCTTCTCTTGCTTTGTGTGCCACATGGAGTTTGGCGGCTGAAGCTTCTGCACATCGGTAGAAAGTTTTATGTTGAAACCAGTCAGCCGGCCATTCATGTCATTACGAAATCCTTTAAAATTAACAATAGACAAAACAGTTCATTTCTCATTAAGTTCACTGAGGCAATCGCTATCAAATACCTGAGACCTGATTCACAGGTTCAAAAAGAAGCAGTCATCAGTATTTCTTTGCCCTGGGAACTGGATGTCTCTACTCTCTCATTTGATTGCACAATGTTTAGTCTTAACTCCTACCCTAATCGATATAGAGTAGCTTCACTTGTCTTTTATTTCTGTGATTTGAGTTGAGATCACCACATTGTTACTCGACTTACTAGTTGCTCACCATCTTATACACCTCATGTCTTCATTATGTAACTCTTTAATGAGTGTATTCAAGCATTTATTTTGTTCAAACTTGAACTCTCTGAGTATAAGGTATACAAGCGTACCTTCTGAGAACTGTTTGTTCAGTTTAAAATCTCCTAGCAAATGACATTATATAATATTTGCAAGTATGTTAAGATTGTTATGTACATAAACTTAACAATTTCTTTAGGTTGTACGCAACTGATGAGAAGCCAACGTAATAAACAATGATAGTATCATATTATTCTGCACAAACCTCTGTTATTCTTTCTTTGTTCAAATTCATAAAGAGGAATAAGGGTATGCAATGCATGATGATATACAGGAAATAATGTTAATTTAAAGTTTGGAAATCAAAATACAGACGCAATGACTGAGAATCAAATGATTGGGTAACTTTAAAATAATAGCGAAAAATGAAGATATTCACGAGAACCTACAACCCTAGTGAAACGATAGAAGCGAGAGACTTAGTAAAGGAATGTTTATTTGGAATTTGATATCTCTATAGAGCCAAATTATGTAGACTTTATCTTAAAAACACCATTTGCAAAGATCATCTGTGTGGTGCCTGCTACTTCTGGCCTTCCTTCATCATATTGTGTTTCTTTGTGTTCCTTTCATTTGTCTCATGTATCTTCGCAACTTTTATCATTTTCTTTCTCTGACATCAAATCTTTCTCCTTGCTATTTGATGTTTTTTTTTGTATGACGATGAACGTCTCTTTATATACTACTGATAAATGTTGTCAGTAGCACACACCGAACTAGGACCTATTGTAACGGGTAGATAATGCTAAACTTAAGCCCGTTATTACTGTTATTTCCAAAGAATAATGGCTACCCAAAGAACTTCAATAACAAAATAAAAACACCTACATTAAGTATGGTCGAAAACGTATTCCACATAGAGCAGAGACATCAGATAACATCAGAAGAGTACTCACTGTGCGTCAGTGGCACAGTGGCTAGGACTCTCGCCGACCATGCACATGGTCCGAGGTTCGATACCCTGCCGACACACACCTGATACCTATGGTCGGCCTGCGAAATTTGGGCTACCGATATGGCATGCTGGAAATTCCATACTTGTACCTAAAATACAGTGTGGAATCAAGCTGTAATAAAAAAAATAAAATAAAATCGGCATCAGAGTTGTCTTCAAAACATCAAGCATACTGTGAAAAAACCTGGTCCGCATAAAAGACCAAATCCCTAAGGACTCTCAATCTAATTGTGTATATAAAATAAAATGCCCACTTGGAATGTGATGCGATATACATCGGACAAACAACGCCAGAAAGAAATAAAAATCAGAAGGAATGAACACCGTAGGGTAACTGTCTGACCATCGAGAAATCCAGTTAAACTAGAAAAGCTTGAAAAATCATCGGCCAGCCATAGGTCTGCACGATGCTCTATAGAATCAGGCCACAAAATTCATTTTCACAATATTGAAATAATCCAGAAAAAAGATTTCAGAAATCATAAAGAACGTTTCACATCGTCAGAAGCACTTCATATCAAATGAAATCCAAAATGTCTGAATAGGAATGATGAACTAAAACAGAATTTGACCTGGTTACAATACCCTCATCCGCCATGAAATGACAAAATCAACATGAATGCGGTGAGCAGTTTCATTATGTAAACACATTCTGCTTTTATAATATTTACATTTGTTCAATCTACCGATCTACACCAAGTGTCGCATTTGAAAACACAAGAGATTACCTCATGCTGAGGGACGATGATTAAATTTGTTATATGTATATATAAGCTGAGATTTTGTAAATTCTGTGTGAATAATAATTTGATAAGGCTATTGGTAGCATTAATTAGTGAAACATCAACAAAAACAATATCGTTTTGTTTTCCATTCATTGGGAAGGACAAAAACTTTAATGAACGATGTGTATTATGCACCATTAAATATCCAATGACGTGAACCTTAATTTATGTTAGTAGGGTCAGTGTCTGGTTTGCAAATCACGTAGATATTGACTCAGAAAAATTTGGTCTCCTAACAGGACTCATATTTGTCACTTATGTACATGTATTCAAAACTACATCAGCTCAATATGCCTTGTAAAAATAACCCTTTATTTACTAACTTTATGGTAGTAATTTGTGCTATGAAGAGTCAATTATCAGAGCTATTGTTAAGTTAATTCAGAAAGAAGACGGAAACTTATTGTCTTTGGCAGGTTGTTTTTCAATTTGTAGATTCCTTTGCAGGAGGTGTTTGTTGAAATGGAATGACCAATGATGACGAGATGTTCGATTATTGCACTCCTTATACGTCCACCACTTCTTTTCTGCAGCTACGCTGGATAGTGTTCTTTGACCCTTTTTGACAGGATGCGCATCAAACGACCGATACACCTGACTCCACAGCAACAGGTGGACTGATATATGCACATAAAATTGGTCAGGTGCGGGATCTTGTCCTTTGGGCTTCTGAAGATCAACGGGCAACTGGGGAGCACTGTTCTTAGTGTTGTCACGAAGAAAGTTCTTCTTAAAGAAGTGGAAATTCTCCTCCTAAGGACATCTTTGAAGTCAAGGTTAATATAAAATATCTTTTTTGGCACGGATGGTGTCTCTTGCTTTTGGGTTTTCTGTCTGATGTTTCTGTCTATGAATCTTCATGAATATACTTTTTGTATGAGGATTTTTTTCAGAAAGTGTTCTTCTTTCAGGGTATCAGAGCTGCAGATGCATCAGACGCAAGTAGCAATGGATCTAATTAGGTTTCTTTTTCGACTGATTAGTACCCAGCTGTAGAAGCTTGTCAGTTGGCTGTTCCCACGTGGGTTTCTTATGGATGGACCTTCTTAAAGTTCCATCAGCTCTTCTTGCAAGTTCACATTAACTGTGTTGACAGTCTAAGATAATTTTTGAGTACTTTTTTCTCTCTCAAGACAAGTAATCAACTTGGACTTCCTGCAGAGTGAATCTCTGTAAAATGTCGAATCAAGTTACAGTGCATCACAGTATGCAACCTTATTGCGTCATTCCACTACAAACACTGATTTTAATCAGTATATATATATTTTTACAACACTGAGTACCTTTCAGTTAGATGAAATACTTAATTCAACATATGACAGTTCACATCACCATATTAGTAGTACTATCTTTTTTTCTTAAAAAGACGACCTATTCCAATAAATTTTATAAAAACAAACTGAATAAAAATTAAAAGCAACAACGTACAGTAAATTTTCCGACAATTCTAACATCTCCAATTTGATTCTCTGCTGTCATTGAACTGATACCATCGCTAACATTCCCAGTGAAATAAACTGTACTAGGTTCAACTGTTCTACATACCATAAAGAGGAATTTAGAAAGAAAATTACTTTTAATATATAATAAAGTCAAAATTTTGAGGATAATAAAGAATGAGTATTGGGTTCGAGTCTCAGTGGAATACTACCACTCACTGGGTAATGCAGATACTGAATGTACATTCAGTCGATCACGAGTCCCGAGATGGATGAAGTGCGCATCCTGGTGGATTCCACTGCTAGTCACCATCTACCCACCAAATCACTTCAGTGGTGATGCCGTATGATTGGTTTATAGGTTTGATTGTAATCATACGTTTACTGCTTGGAATTTACCTTGAATGAATGAATTACATGATTACATACTTTCTACTCTTGCTTTGTTTGCCACGTGGAGGCTGGCGACTTGACCTGCCACACATCAGTGAAAAGTTCTATGTCGAAAACAGACAGACAGGCATGATTACATGAATACAACTCGGATGATTAAACAGATCTGTACTATAGTGATGAGGATAGTCAGGTACGGCCTTATTAATGTAACTAACACTTTGGCATATGAAAAAGGTGCATTAAAAAGAACAGTTCCCACCGCCAGACTCATTCCACCTTACAACACAGTATGCTCGTTGAGCCCATCAAAAGTATATAAGTATCCTTTTCTGGATGTCAACTCACCAGTCTACCTGAAATTGCGGCAGCAAGTACATAGGAAGGACTGAGAAGACAGCATCTACTAGATTCTTCGAGAATATCCCTTAAAGTCCCCGTTTGAAAGGTAGCAAAATGTTCGCAAGTGCAATTGCCAAACACATCTAATTAACACTAGACATACTTTGGAAATTAGTCAGGCTTTCAAAATAATCACAACACAAAGAAAAAGAAAGCATGGTTACTTCGGTTCACAGAAGCCCTTGACACCATTAAAGGACTTCGACCCAACCAATGCATACAGGAAGAAAGTGTGACGAATCCCTCACTACCCTACCCTACCCGGTAACAGTAATCGTTTTGTTCATGTGCTTTTGTGTTTTGTTATGTTGCATACGTAACATTCTACTCAATTTTGATTTTGATTTTCAATCACTGAGTTGAACTCACTATTGAGTTTACAAATCTACTAAACTATTTTCTCTATTTTATAATTTTACTTCACTATTTACCCACGTCTTCTTGAACTATTCACCACAAAATGAATAAATGCACACTGTTGTTATATCTTGTATTTTGTCCCTAGTCTGTCCTTGTTTCCAAGATAAATCTGAACTCCACCCCTTCGTCTAATCACCACATGCATAGTTACTCTTTGAACACTAAATAATTGTCTGCTTACATCATCTTAGAAATGATATTGCTTATACTTTCTATATATATCTTGAAGTGTTTGTAAAAAGTATGTTCAGAAATTTTCAAACGTATTATTGATTTATTTAGGATGTAGACAGTTGGAGAGAATCCACTAAAATAGAACGAGCTCGTATTATCCTGCAAATATGTTCATTCTTTATTTATTCAAACTAAACATTAAATTTATAAAAAAAATCTGTTCAGGTAAATGAGTTCGCATAATAATCAAGCAAGTTGGTATTTCATCATATATGGTTACATAGAAACGGTACATGATGATGTCTCATTTGAAATTTTTATTTCATGTACATTTGAGTAAGAAAGTAGGATTTAGTGAACTTGACTTATGAGAATGTATAAAATCAAAAATATGTGTAGATACTTGTTAAAATAATTATTTTTCAATTTTTTTATTGGTTGTTTCTATTGGACCAAAATGCTCAATCTCTTTTGACTAACCAGCTCCAAGTACGAATACTTTAACTATGCCTTAAAGTAAAAATAATGCCATTTGTCAGGCTTATGGTAGCTAGCAGTAAAATCTAAGACTGGTATTTCGACAGTTATTGGCAATTCGCCAGGCTGATGTACGTGCTACCCAATCAAACTGAAAGCTAGTACACTCCTTGTTTCAAACTTGAAATAGTTAACTCCGCTAGGTGACTATTGTCCGATGACAACCATCTTTTGTGGAAGAGATATCAGTTGTAGAAAAGGTGACTATCTGGGCCCAATGGATAATACATTAGCGGTTGGAATGACGCCTACTGGGTTCGAGGCTCAATGTGAACACCACCACTCACTGGGAATACAATTACACCCACCTAGTAGACTTCAAATAGGCTAGGATTCCACTGCTAACTACCAATCGCTAAGTAGTATGCTTTTCAGACTACAACATCTGTGGGATTTAAGATTACTTTCAACGGGTAGATTTTTGTAACTAACCAACATCAGTTAGAGGAATCACTGGAAATCGGGGAGCTCACTGGACATCTGTTTGACCCTAGTTTTCGAAACTCTTCATCAGGATGCACCAATGACTCAGTCAGGGATTGAATTCGAGGTCTTCAGGTTATGGGACTAAGATCATTGACAATTTAGCCATTTGACCGGAATCCAGTGACACGTAAATTCTGACATTCTCCTTACATACTGAGTGACCAGTGTTGAATATATGTTCACAATTATAGCACTCCTTATTGTTCGACTACTACCTTTTTCGTAACCAACCAAGATAATGTTCCTTGACTCTTTAAGATAAAACACGAAATCGAACTACCTATATATCTTGCTCACTCCACATGAGCAAGTCAATCGGTAGATGTACATAGAAATGGTCAAATGCGATAGTTTATCATGGGTGATTTGAGAATACCAATCGTAATGTAGCAGCAGAGAGCATTCTCTGCCACCATTGTTCTTCAACAACTCCAAGATAAACTATCGGATCTGACCACTTCTCTCTGTATCTACCAATTGACCTGCTCATGTGTAGTGAGCGAGATATATAAGTCGTTCGATTTCGTGTTTTATCTAAAAGAGTCACTTGGATGCGAAAAAGGTAACAGCCAATCAATAAGGAGTGCTATATTTCTCAATCAATATCTTCAATGAACTATCGCCTTACTTTGACATGGTGAACTCCATCGAAGGCGGCATTGGTGAAGACAGCAATATACCAGAAACTGAAAAAACAACAACAACTAGAATTCAGGTTGTTACTGAATTCCAGTTCAAGTGGCTCAAGTATGATCAACAATCTCGATCTCGTTATCTGAATGTCCCGGGTTCAATCTCTAGTGGTTCGTGGGTTCGCAATGGTGAAGAATTTCGAAAACTAGGATGAGACAGCTGTCCAATGTGCTGCCTTGTTTTTATTGATCACTCTAATTGATGTTTGTGGTAATGAAAATCTTAAAACTTTAAATAATATTAGTAAGTGATATTTAAACTTCCACTTGTATAGTTGGTTTAACAATATTAAGATTAATGAATAATGATATCCTAGTTTTCTTAGATAATATATCATTCACTGTATGGAGAGAGAAGTTGTTAGCTTACCACAATCCTATTGGCATGACTAACAACAATTAGTCCGTCTTTAGCTTTAATCATAAATCTAAATAATCTATGATAATTCATTTACGAATCGTAATACTTGGAGGGAAAAATAATGATAAAGTCCATAATTCCATTATTCCGTTAAATTAAAAACTAAGGTGAAATTGGTGGTCAGTATTCGTAGAAAACAAATCAGAAAAAAAACTTGACGTTCGGATTTTCCACAGTCTCTCCTCTTATTCGCTTTCTACATAAATTCATTTTATATTACTTAATACAAATGATAAATGTGTATACCAATTAATTTATCGATGATTTAGTAGAAAGATTTACTGTGTAAAAACCTAATCACATATGCATATATAAATGTATATATATATATCGTTTATTTCAGATTTATAATTTATGTAGAAAGGCATTCCTTATCCTGCTTTTATAGGATTTATGAGGAAAATGATGCTTCGTGTTCGATGAATTCAAATATCTTCAAATATTGGTTTTGTAGGGATTTTTGTTGTTGTTTGATTGGTTGGGGGATTTCATCATAAGCTGACATCCCTACAAAACCAATACTTGACAAATGGATCTGATGCTCACTAGCGACTGATCCTATTCAGGCAGTTAACCTGAGATTCTAGTGGGAAACCGTGACTAGTAGGGTACAGCAAGTTGAATGTGAGGCAGTAACTCATAATAGAGAAGACATTGCGAAGTGGTCGTGCTCTGTCACGAGTTGGCAGAAATTAGAATTCATGAGCTGCCCATTAGATCGGATCCCAGGGGCTGAATGTTCTACGAGCTCTCCCTGTAACCAGGAGGTCCTGGGTCTGAACCCTGGTGGTGGTTGCGTACTGATGAAACGTCCCAAACTAGAGTGAAACAGCTGTCCAGCACTCCCTGTTGGTTTGCCAATGGTTCTCTAGCTGATGTCAGCTCATGAGGAGATCTTCCAACCAATTCAAGTATTTAACGACAGATTATGAAATTGATATGACTGGCAATACAGCCTGGAGGTTTACCAGTCTGATGCGTTTTGAACTTCACAATTAGAAGATTTAAGAGACTAGTGGTCTGATCAATCAGAGTGATAGTAAAATATAGATACCACAGTCAAATGACCTTGAACCAGCCAATCATGTACTCCTAGGTGAAAAGCGGCATTTATAGTATAAGCTTTTAATGGATATATATAAAACAAGAAAATGAATTATATAGGATGTATATCCCTGATATTCTGAGAAAGGAAGTCTAAGTTTTCCATAGGAGTGTCTATAGTAAATAAACCAGCATCTGTGTAAATTACCAGTTATACAACCCACTAATTCGAGTGGCTTTATTACGAATCCTAGCTTAGAATAACGTCCTAGTCTATTGCTATCGGTGATTTAATGACAAGTTTTATTTTCTGTGTGCTTTTAAAATGAAATTTTGATGTAACAAATTTTTTTTTCTAACGTACATACTATCAGTGGCATTATATTCTTGAACGCGCTACATTTGATGTACTTTTATCGGAAAATATCGCTTAATACTGATATCTGAGAAGTGTAATATGGATTAAGGGAGGCAGTAAGTTAAAAAGTTAAACGTATATTATTGAATTTTCATGAAACTATGCTGGTATATTTTGGCCTATTAATTGAAACACCATAATACCTACCGGATAAAGTAGGTGACGTCACTGCAAACAGGAGATATGCTATATAATCGACCCACTAATTTTGATGAGTGATTGACTTTACGATGATTATAACTTAATGATGATAGCTACAATGCTCAGCATTTCAAATGAATGCTGCTCATAATCATCGTTGCAAGTTCCACCCTAACCTCTATCACAACTCTACTTTAACCCTAATCCTCAATCAACTTACAACTACGATTCTGAAAAGCATTCATCTATGATGTTGAGTGGTCGGATTGGTTGGTTCAGGGTCATTTGGCCGTGGTATCTCTATTCTTTACTATTGCCCTTGTAAATATTTGCAACGACAACCGCCAAAATACGACACCGCTGACATGCAAAGCAAGGAAGAAGACAGATCGTTGAGTACAGAGCTTTTACTGTCTTGGATCAACAGTGCAGAAGAAATCTTGCCAGCAGTTCGTAATGTATAGGCTCAAATGACCTTGATTCAAATAACCTTCATTTGGTTGGCTTAATCAGTTAACAACCAATAGGGTTCAAAGGTCATAAGTGGGCGAAAATACATACATTACTATACTGTAAAAATAAATGTAATATTTTGGAAAGGTTAGGTGAGTAGAAGAGGAATATAATGAAGAAATTATATACTACTAAAGACATACAGAGCTGAACAGCATATCCGTGAGACGAACATTCAGTAGAATTCTCACTGAACTGTAGATATCCTAACTTATTGGTTGAATCAAACGACTTTTAACCAATGAGTTCCTCCCCACCTACTTTAGAATCATCAAAAGTCTTTAGTACCATAAGAAAACACACAATAAATGTGTATTTGTGTGTAGTTCATAGCCTGATAAATAAGCTGATCATTTTTTTTGAATAACTAAAGTAGATACAGGGATAATACACATTGTTTTGATTGGATACTAGTAACTAGTGTGATGTGTCTAGTCCTTTGTTTGGTGCAGACTGAATTCTATCAGTAAGGTTTGCGATATGGCCACCATTCTAAGTATACTCACCATCACGGTGCACATCGATCTGATGATATTAGACGGTTGGGGCAATCGACAGGAAGCCTTACTTGACTTAGGTTTCGTGCTAGTTGGCACTCACCAGTCAGCAAGGCGTATCTGCAACCTGGGTGACGCGGGTTGGAATCTAAGAAGGGACATGAGTTCTTTCAAGGTTACAGATACGCCTTGCTGGTGAGTGCCAACTAGCACGAAACCTAGATCCAAGGCTTCCTGCCGATTGCCTCCAACTAATAATACACATTGTATTGTTCAGCTGTCCAACAGTTTGAAAATGTATTATTAATATTCTTTTAGGTTTTGAGTGGAGCTTAGAGCTTCAGCAACACACCTCCATTTCACTCTATTCTTTGTAGTCCTCTTTAGCTGGTCCTAGTATTGCCCGTAGGCTCTTATCTCCTCCTCACATTGTCTCCACCATGTCACCATCGGCCACATACCCACAGATATTTGTGTAAATCTCAACGAAATTAAAATAAACAATTTCAGTTTTTCATTCGGTACACTGGTCTGAACTTATTCAGGAAAGAGAACATCTTGTCTTTAAAATATTTTGTTCAATCAGTTTTGTTTGAGTCATGAATAGTTATTAAAAACAGATTAAACAAAATTGCGTGAAATGTAATCACGATTTGAACGGATAATTCCACACAAACATATTATTACTATCCAGTGAACATACTTCAAAATCAATACTCAAATATACGAACAGAGAGAAGGAAGACCAATGGGATCGCTCATATCAGGATTAATAGCTGAAGCCATCATGCAAAGATTAGAAATAATAGCCCTACCTATAATTAAACCAAATGTTTGGGTACGTTACATTGATGATGAATGTGCAGTAATTAAAGGAGATGATTTGAAATCTACCCATAAATTGATAAACAACATATTTGAAGACATCAAATTCACAAGAGAAGAAGAACTAGATAACGAAATCCCATTTTTAGATGTCTTAATCAGGAGAACCAACATAGGAAATTTAGAAACACAAGTATACAGAAAATCAACGCACACAGATCAAATACTCAACTATAGTAGCAATAACCTAATTACCCACAAAAGAAACTGTCTACAGACATTGTTTAGAAGAATTCAAACACACTGTAGCACTCCAGAGTTGAAAAGAATGAAATAAAAATACCTACTAACTGTCTTCAGAGTGAATGAATATCCTCAAAATTTCATCAAAAATTGTTTAAACTCGAATCACAATACCAACAAAAAACCATCATTACATATAAAAAATATCCCTGAAATAACAGCTAGAATATTGAAACCGTTTGAGGTGGATATAGCAGACAAGCCAGCCAGCACAATCACGTCATTTGATATCGTGCAAACCAAAAGATCCAACAGAAAAAGAAGCAAGATAAAATTAACACCATTTACAAAATAAATTGTATGAACTGTAACAGGTATTACATCGGTCAAAGTAGGCGTCAACTTCGAATTGGAATCCAGGAACACAAATCCAGCCGTGAAACGACATGATATATATTCTTCCATATCAATGCATGTAGATAATTATGAACATCAATTTGATTGGAATAATGTCGAAATTTTGGACAGAGGAAACACCAAAAGCGCCAGGGAATTCCTAGAGGCCTGGTACTCAAGTGAATATACTATTAACAAACATGTTAATATAGACCAAATCTACCAACCAATAAAAGGTAAATCATGTGACGAAAAAGTTTAAAATCCAAGTCAGTAAAAAGATGATCAATAGAGATGTAAATCGACTACCAGCCATGAAGATGGTTGCTAGGCGATGCAATTCTATCATTCATAGAAAATTTAAGTCAGTTCACTTTATGCTAAAAATTGCGCTGAAGATGTCTGGAAGAGGGGACGACGAAAGCTCTGCAATTAAACCAACCAGTTTACAGAACACAATTAATTGCAAATCATCTACTTTTCGCTCTAGTTTTAGACTCTTCATCAGTACGTACCCTCAGAGGTTCAAGCCCAGGGACCTTCTGTTTGCAAGGCGAGTCCGTAGACGATTCCGTCACTGGGATCCGATCCAATGGCTCATTAATTCGGAATTCTATCGATTCGTGATATCCTTTGCGGCCATTAGCCAACGTTACTGACGAAACAGCTGTTCTCTACTCCCTGATTTCTAATGATCCTATAACTGATTTCAATTCATGATCAAACCTCAAAGTATAACAACTACAGCAAAAGGTAAACAGGAGAAAAATAACATTTCGCCTTACTAAGATAATCGATACTAAAAGACAACTGAAGTGATGTCATTTTCATATTCTCTAAATTAAACCAAACTGTTCCCCACTCCCACCCACACCTCCCCCCACACACGAATGGATTGCTCAGTATATTCTGATGACAATTTATAACCAACGAAGCTTAAAATGATGAACATGAATAGTGTGTGATTAGACTGAATTGTAGCAAATCGACCATTAAAAATTCTAACTTAATCATAAAACGTCAGAGCTGTAAGACTTTCATAAGTTGTGACGATAGGGAAATACACTGGTGTCTAGTGGAAACTATTCACCAGAGTATATATACTTACTGAGTAACCCTTGCAGTAAATAATCAACTTACCCAAATATTGAAACATTTACAGTCATCTTTATATTTACTTGTAGTTCATTAGTTAATTGTCCTTCAATTTGTATAGGATTATTAGAACTTCTATATGAAATAGGTGAGAAGGTGAAAAAGGGGAAAGGAAAGGGTTATCAATAGGCTAATAAATAGAAGCAAAAATTTATCATTATAGTATACTACTAAAATAAATAGTGTGAACAAGTATAGAAAAAAAATGGATTGCATTGACGATCATCTGTTAAAATATTTTCGAAGCTGTTATAACTAGCCACAGCAAACGAAAATAAATAAATATTGATAGTGGGCGTATAGTGGAGAAAACGAGAGCTTCCAAGGTGACTAATCATCGCATCCCACAGAATCTTTCCAGTAGCCTTCGTATTCGTTTACTGCACACAACTGAGGTGATAGGCACTCGAACTGTTAACCCTAAACTATGCTCATTCAAAAGAAGTTCGTACAGCCATTATCCCTCTCTTGGCCTATCAAGACATAACCAACTGATGACTTCTCTACCACCCCTTATTTGAATTTTCAACCGCCCTCTCTGATCATCCCTTAATTTTATCACATCTTCCTTAAAATATAGTTTATCTACTTCCTTTACAATCTAACATTACTTAATCGGTCCATTTGTTTTTAATAGCCTTTATCGACAACTACGTCTATCTGAACATTTGTTTGTTTAGTCATGCTGTTTTTCGTTATTCTCGTTATCACAGATCGTATCATGATTTCATCCTTGTTATTAATAGAATCATTATTCTTATTACCACTACTACTATTATGTACAGTTTATATGCACAATCTTATTATCCTATCGGCAAAAAACACCATGATTGGTTTATATTTGAATTTTTATTTGTAAAGTTATGTATATTAGAGTTAAGTCTGATGAGATCTAATCGAAAGTACAATACTGTCCGCTTAAATGTGTTGTTCTAAATATTACTATGAGAATATTTAATATTTTGAAATATTGAATTTACTATGGAACATGAGAATTATGGAAAGTTTCATTTCCTTGAAATCACCGTGCAACGCTTAGAAAATGGTAGTCTTCAGAGGTCAATTTACAAAAAGCCAACATGGAATGGACACTGCTTACATTTTAAACGAGCACTAGTCAAAATTCTGTTCCATAGAGTTAGAAGAATATGCTCTACAGAGAAATTAGAAGAAAGAATTTCTGATTTTCGAAGAGATGTTGAAAAAACAACAGTTACCCTAAGAGGTTTATTAACAAGTACGGAAGATGTGAAGGCTCTAATGCTAAACAAATCACAGCGGCAAGAAAGCCTATCTTCATTCAAATTGATTTTAAAGGAAAAAATGTTGCAGGAATAATCAATAGAAGATTGAATATGTCACTAGCTACAGCCTATCCTGCAGCTAAATTGGTTCCCATTTATCGGACAACATACTCTTTGGTGCAATCAAAAGTCAGCAGGTATCCTCTTCATGTTTACGTGAATTTGCGGGAGTATTTACATTGGAAGAACAGAAAGAAGGGCACACCTCCGATTTTATTGAACATATAACGAAAAACCTACGTCTCAAGGGGACAAATGCTTTCAATAGCGTCATTGCCGGGCATCTCCTTGATACGGATCATGAGGTGGATGCAGCAAAAGCGTTCAAAATTATCAATATTTAAAAATGTTCAATTCTCCTCAATTTTACCGGAGAAATCTTCAGCAAGAGCCTGAAAACCGATTTATGCGTTCAGAAAGAAGAGGTTATCAGTCTTTCCTAGCCCTAGTAACTGAATGTTTTCATCCTCTATTTCATTTGATTACGTTACGCCAAAACAATCCATTGTGTATGATTATTATTGTTTGGGATGAAGTGATTGTTATTATTATTAGTAGTAGTACCGTATATATATATATATATATATATATATATATAATATATATATATATATATATTGGAAAGGTAAGTCATGTTCTGACCAAATCGCAACTCTACGCATCATCATCACAGAACAAAGCATGGAATGGCAATCAAACCTCTATCTCAACTTTGTAGACTTTCAGAAGGCCTTCGACAGCGTTGACCACGAAGTAATTCGGAAAATACTCGAGTAATACGGCGTACAGTGCCCCAAATATTCATCAACTTTATTCAACAGCCGTACGACAATGGCACATGTCAAGTGATCCAAAACGGAAAACTCAGTGAGGCGTTTCGAATAAACACAGGAGTCAGACAAGGGTGCCTACCTATTATCACCAATGATATTCCTAATTGTGGTGGACTGGGTCATGCGTCAGACAGTGGGAAACGAGTAGACAGGGATATCCTGGACCGATGTGAAGAACCTAGAAGACCTGGACTTCGCGGATGATTTATGCTTGATGTCACACACAATCGAAGACTTACAAGCAAAAACCGACAAACTGGTCGAAGAAGCAGCTGGCGAAGACAGGACTCCAAGTGAACATAGACAAGACGGAAGTTATGAAGATAACCAACCAACAACGAAAAAACCAGCGCTCACATCCAGCGCCAATCACCATCAATGGGAGGGATCTGAAAGAGGTTGCTTCATTCATTCACTTATCTAGGGAGCATTGTCTCAACTACAGAAAGTCGGAACGGACGCGGATGTCAAATCGAGCGAGAATCGGGAAGGCTAGCGAGAAACACATTCATCAACCTGAAAACCAATCTTCGTCACTCAGCCACCATCAACAGCAAAATTCGGTCGGATTTTCAATACAAACGTCGAGTCAGTCAGTTCTCCTATAAGGATCAGAAACTCTGGCGGGTCACAAAGAATATTTCCAACAGCCTGTTGAAGACCTTTATCAACAACTGTCTTCGCTCTATACTGAAGATCAGATGGCCGGGCCGGAAAGAATCACCAAAAAGAAACTATAAGAACAAACGAAACAAGAACCAATCGCCAACTAACAAATATTCAGGCGAAACAGGAGATGGATTGGACACTCACTGAGAAGGTGATATCGCGAGCGCGTCAGGCCATTGCTCGAGTGGAACCAGGCCGAAAAGGAAGCGGCGAGTGGGACGTCAGTGCAAAGGTGACATGGCGGAGATCGTGTGAAGAGGAGTTGAAACAGTATGGACTAACATGGCTGCAGGTGAAAAGTACAGCAGAAGAGAGAAGCAAGTGGAGACGTGCAGTTGAAGCCCTATGTTCCATTAGGAACCCAAGGGAAAATAATAATAATAATAATACATATATTGACATTTTGTGTTTGAAGTCAATTCGTTGTGTATGTTAAGATTGTTTTCGTACACAAACTTAATAATGTCTTTGGGCTTTAGTCATTGAATGAGAAGCTAACGAAATAAATGATGGTACCAGTTTATTCAGCACAAACTGTTGTTCTTGCTCTGTTGGAAGTAATAACAGAAATTATTATGTGTATGTAGTTGTATAATATTTCTACTACATAATTCAATTAAGAGAAAATCTTCGAGTGTTTCACAACTTCTCCATTTTTTTTACGGAGATGTAGGATTTAAAGGTTAAAATGTTTAAGCATGCACTGTGGTCATCCCCAAAGGTTTCAAGTGGGACATAAGGCTTCAACAGGAAACCTCCACTTTATCCTTTTTTCTAAATTCTTTATGAAGTGGAACCACGATTTCGCTCTTCACACGACCTCCACCATGTAACAACGTTCAACTGATTTCCTGTTTCGCGAGATACCATTCCTCAGTGTATGTCCGATCCATCTCAGCTTCCTTCTGCATATTTGTTGAGCAATAGCTTCTTGGTTAGTTCGCCAAGGAACGTTTTGTATAATATTTTCTCTTCGTCCAGGGTCTTCAAGTAAAATAATAACTGACAGTGGATCGGACGATACAATATTGTCTGACTTGAGGCATAAACAAATCCTTTATGGTATTTCTTGTTTGTCTTTTTCGAGATATGCACGACATTTGGTTGGAAGTCAATTCAAAAAAAGTGAATGCAGTACATTTTGAGACTTAAAGACATAAGTGAATGATTAAAGACTGTAGGTAAATAGCTTATTTCTCAGGTAGTGGCAGTTTGAGCTGAAATTCTCAAGGACAACTACCTCATATTATCGAGATACTTTGCCACTCTCGATTGTGATTTTGCTCAAGTTTAGTAGAAACCTGGCAATCAGCAGATTAAACATTTTAAAGACCAATTAGACGTCATACTTTAATAGATTAAAAATTTTATGCAATATACATAAGGAGGCTTTCGGTAGCCCAAGTTTTAGCAAGCAACCGAAAGAACCATAGAGTCTGTGGATTGAAGGAATGGAGCAGTTTACCAATGACAAGATGAAACTGAATCTGGACAAATGACTTTAAGAACAAATCTCTAATACCATTCTGATTTTTCAAGTTGAATCTCCAAGTTATTGTGCGGAGATGTAGAAACGTCTTGGGATAAGAAGGATGTTCAGTTTGACAGTATCTTTGATCTATTTACAGGAAATTTACCATTCTGAAATCGAGTTTTTTGAAGCACAAAAAGAACACATTTGATGCTTATGTAGAAAGTATATGGGTGATTAATTAGATTAGAATAGAATTGCTAATATTTCAGTCTTTTCTCTATTTATGGTCGTATTACATTATCCACAGTTTATGTCCACACTTGTATCAGCCTAACCAAATTCTTACACAGTTAAAGCTAAGCATCCGATGAGTATGAGAAATATAATTATATTCATGAGACGTCATGAATGGGTGACGCGGGTTCGAATCTCAGAAGGGACATGAGTTCCTTCAGAGTTGCAAATACTCCTTGCTCATTTATGCGTGCCAACTGGCACTAAACCTAGGTCCATGGCTTCCTGACGACTGCTAGCAAATATCTAATATCACCAAATAAATAAAAGCTTCTAAACAATGCTTTAAAGTTTCTGTAGTGATGAACTGGATTGATTTTCCGGGATAGAGTAGCAAGCCAACTCTATGCCCAACCTTTCCTCTTCCCCTGATGTTTAGAATGGGCTAGAAAACTAGCGAACTGGCAACCCAAGGAAGAAATTATAACAATACTAAAATTCTAAACAATACCCATAATTCTTTTATACATCTACACAATGGTAAACTATGAGATACATGGGACCATCGTCTTAATTTGGCTCCAAAAGAGATTCATCCTTACCATATGTAAATTACGGGAGGCAAAGTAGAGGATGGTTGTGAAAACGAAACAATCAAAAACTGATAAATATATGAAAAGGTAAAGTCTGAACACCATTCAAACTTCAAGTTAAATACATAGATATATAATATACATTAAGCCAAACAACATATTACTAACTGGATTTAAGATAAAAATATACTTTTATAAACACAGAAAGGTAAACACAAACACACACAAAACAAACAAACAACCTACATTAATACAGTACTATTTACAAAGAATTTTGCCATCTGTACTGTCAGCTGATGTCCAACAACAAGCCAGCGTATCACACAATGACTAGTTTCACCAAAAGCCAATGGATGCTGAAGATGACAAATTGCTGTATCTGGTCGAATTAAACTGGCCTCATGTAACTAAAACAAAAAAAAACAACAAAATAATATATTAAAGATAGTTATTTAAAACAAATAATTAATGGTGAAGATGAGAAAATAGAATACAAGTAAGTAGGCAGTACAGTTTTATGTGATACACACAGAGACAGAAGGTGTGTGTGTGTGTGAGAGAGATAAGCTGGTGGGTTAAAATAAGTGGTCTGAATTTAATTCATTTGTCTAGGTAGTCTCTTTTCCATTAACTTTTAAAATAAGCAACGTGTTTATTATTGTCTTGCGGAAGTCGACAATACAATGTGACAGGTTGTATATATATATATATATATATATATATATATATATATGGACTCATTTAAACAAAAATCACAAGAAAGAACTTGGTTCAAAAGTGAATGAAAAGAAAACAACTTGAAGTAACCATAGGATATGAAGATAAGATTACAGACAAAGATATGATTCATCAGTAGATATATGTGACATATAGATGTGAATCGATTATAACTAATCGGAATGAAAGCTAGCTATTATACTAGTAACTGCGAATTTCACTGGTTGTTGAATGAAATGAAAACTGAAGAATCAATAATTTTCCATTATTATTGTTATTACTGTTATTTCCCTGAGGTTCCCAGTAGAACATAGGGCTTCAACAAAACATCTCTTATTTCATTCTATTCTCTATAGTAGTGTGATCGCCTAAAAAACCCTCAACTTCTTGTCACACGAACTCCTTGGGACCACGTTCAACTCGTTGTTTCTCATACGGGTTCTACTCCAGCAATGCCCTGGAGTGTGATGTCATCCAACAACCTCCTCATTGTGAGTCCTCAATGGTGTAAGAAGTGAAAAACATGTTAAGGAACTAGCCATCAACTGAAGAAAACTCGGGTGAATTTTTGATGGATTTCACTTTATATCATACTATGAAGCAGTGAATAACAGTACACATAACACTCTATCTGTTCATGATGTTTCTCTCAGCCAATCAAGATATATACATGTGGACATTTGGCAAACCTAAAGCTAACATTCTTCTATTTGAATTTACTTTGTGGCGAAAGCTATTTCAAAATCAGTTAGATTTTCATAAAATAACCAACTAAATTATTAAAAATAAATTCAGGAAGAATGTCTACACCATGTATAAAATTCTCAGTATAATTTTTTGCAAAATTTCTACTCCTCATCCAGGATCATCAAATAAAACAGCAATCTATAATATATCATGTGACGTAATGCTGTTCGATTCAAGGCGTAGACTAATCCCTCATGTCATCTTTCTTTAGTCTTCAAGACATGCGTACCAGTAGTTTGAAAGCCAACAAAAAATACACGTGAGTAATTTTCCTAATCAAAGACATCATTGAATGGTGAAAAAAAGTAGTAAGAATTACAGAAAATGTGATGCATTGTGTTGAATGGCGACTTAGACAGGTCGTCAGTACCTGCATTCATAGCCAACTTTAACATGTATTTTCAAAAATGAGTCATCAAGGCACTCAACACAAAAAAGGAATTTGAATATTTATGATATGATTCAATAAACATCAGGAAGTGAAAATCCAGAATAAATGGCTGCGTGACTAGTTGTTTGCTAATAATTAAGTTGATTATGCGTAACACTATCTTCTTGAGGCAGCTAAATCACTTCAAAATGAAAAAAAAACACCAGCTGTTCAGTGTTTTCTACACTTTAAAACGATGTTAATATTAGATGGTTGGGGACAATCGGAGAGAAGTCTGCGAACTAGGCTTCATGCTAGTTGGGGAATCATTTCCCTTCTCAGATTCGAATTCATATCACCCAGTGAGTGTTGCAGTCAAAGACGTTACCACTGAGCTATTCGGCCTCGCGATTGACATCCTGTAGGAGTTTATTAGTTACTTTGATTGAACACTAGTCAGTAACTAGTGTAATGTATCTAGTCGCATCTTTGATGCAAACTGAACTCTATTAGTCAGGTTTACAGTATGACCAACAGGTGACATGGGCTGGAATGTCAGAAGGGATATGAATTCTTTCACGGCTGCAGATACATCTTGCTAACTGGTGAGCACCAACAAGCAAAATGTCTAAAAAGCTTCTTGCCGATTACTTCCAACCATTAAACATAAACAATTCCAAATGCACTGTGACGGTGAACAAGCTAGCTTGGTGGCTACATTACAAACTTGACTAATATAGTTCAAGTATTGGTTTTGTAGGGATTTTGTTTGATTGCATGGAGGATTTAATCATGAGCTGACATCAGTTAGAGAACCATTGGAAAACCTGGGAGTACTGGACAGCTGTTTCGTCCTAGCTTGGGACTCTTTAGCAGTACGCACCCACCGGGATTCGAACCCAGGACCTTCCGGTTACAAGGCGAGCTCGTAGACCATTGAGCCACTGGGACCCGATCCAATGGTCCTTGAATTCTAACTTCTGCCAATTCACGACATAGCGCGACCCAGTGGCTCCCAGTGGCTCAACGGTCTACGAGCTCGTCTTGTAACCAGAAGGTCCTGAGTTCGAATCCCGGTGGGTGCGTACTGCTGAGGAGTCTCAAACTAGGAAGAAACAGCTGTTCAGTACTCCCAGGATTTCCAGTGGTTTCTAACTGATGTCAGCTCATGATTAAATCCCCCATGTAATATAGTTCAGTCAAGGACTAGACACACAATACACTAGTTACTAACTACTATCCAATCAAAGTAAAACGATGTTATGAAGTCGCTTTCTTCAAGATGGTATAATATTAATATTAGGCAATAATTTATGGTCTTATCTTTAATTTCAGACAAATGAATGAAAACTTGCGCAAAATAAATGAAAATAGATTGATGTAGATATTGACTTGAATATTTATTATTTAGAAAACCAGCTAACTTAGCTGTGTTTAAAAATTACAGTAGCGGTAATTAATCATATTTAAGTAGGATATTTAGATTTAATATGTAAAACTCATCATAAATAAACAGTCAGACTGTAATTTGCTCCGAATATAGATATTTTGTTTTAGAAATTTGATTTCTTTTCATTCTGAGTGGAATATAGAAGACTTCAAGCTTCAGCTTTGAAGTTTCAGTAGTAATGGTGGTTTCCTTTTAGGGGATGGGGCGTGGTTATTGACTGTTTCACTACTGAACCATAGACTCGAATAAAGGTGATTAGGAGTAGTCAGACAACTATGTAATAATTATCTATACTCTCTTACGATTCTCTCAATTCAACCACAAAGAAATTAGAATGAATGAAAGTTGATGCGATTTAATTAGCAGGCCATATGATAGTTAAGATCATCACATATACAGAGATATTTACTGAGTCTCTTATAGTGCCTTTAAAAAATATTGATTGACGGTATGAATTTCCATGGGATAAAAACTTCACTTCAACAGTGTGCTGAAAAATATCAAAGTGACGTTTGTGAATACTGACGAACAAGATTTGATTCTCTAGGAAGAAGTCGTATTTAGTTGAAGGATTTCATCATGAGCTTACATCAGTTAGAGAACCATTGTAAAACCTGCAGGGAGTACTGGGCAGTTAGCTGTATCGTCCTAGTTTGGGGCTCTTCGTCAGTACGCACCCACCGCCATGGTTCGAACTCAAGACGTTCCAGCGAGCTTGTAGACCATTAAGCCACTGAGACCCGATCCAATGGCCAGCAAATGAATTCTAACTTCTGCCGATTCATGAAATAGCGCGACCACTTCGCAATGTCTTATTTTCGATGATTTACTGCTTCACCTTCAATCTACTGCAACCTAGTGGTCACGGCTTCCCACTAGAACCCCGGGTCACTGCCTGAGTAGGGCCAGCCGCTAGTGAGTTAGTGAGAAGTTGTATTTCTTAACAGTTGGAAATTCGTTCAATCCTCGATTCCTACAATGCATTATGGAACTCAACAGACCTGAATAAGGCTTCTTTGGGATTCACTCGCTACTTGCCTATATATATATATATACATATATAGTAAGGACTTATTTCAGACAGTATGTGAACACATAGTTCAGAAATTTTCAGAGAATTTAGTTCCAAAGTATTTCCTTTTCATACAGGATTTACATGTGAAGTAATAATCTGAAGTATGCCATGTAACGTAGTTTTGTCGTATAAGAAGAAAGAATCGATTCTGTACATATTTTCTTCATTTCCCTAAAGAATAGCGCAGAGTTTATTCGGAAGACAATCAAATAGGCGAGCGAATTCAAGTAGTGATCATTTGATAAAAGTGCATCATTTAAACAATAAGAAATGAAGAAGAGTTTAAGCATTTCGATAGATGAAAATTCTGGTAGCGCAGTAATTTAAGTAAGCCACCACAATGATATCTTATATATCAAGAAAGAAGTTGGTGCCAAAGTAAGCATATTGAGAATTCACAGCGGAAGATTGGCTTTTGAAATACTACTGAGGATCTTAACTTATGCCCCTCGCTGAGTACTCGACAAAGCAAAATATACGTCTACAGAATTATTATTATTGTTATTATATCCTTTAATTCCTAGAGAAACATAGGGCTTCAGCTGCGCGTCTCCATTGCCTTCGGTTTTTCTGCCAACTTTTTCACCCCGCTCCAAGTCTGCCCACATGCTTTCATCTCCTCTTCACATGACCTCCAAGTCACCCTTGCACTGACAACCAACTCCACGCTTCCCACTCAGTCGGGTTCCACTCGAGCATGGCTTGTCTAGTGATGTCACTTGATGGTTTCCTCAGCGTATGGCCGGCCAATCCATCTCCATTTCTTCCTGCCTATTTGTTTCACAATCGGTTCCTGGTTGGTTCTCTCCTAGAGATACCTCACTATTGCTGATCTTTTCTGGCCGGCCATCTGATCTTGAGTATTGAGCGAATATAACTGTTAATGAAGGTCTGTAGTTTGTTTCAGATGCTCTTTATGACACGCTGGCCAACTCTCTGATCCGTATAGTAGCACTGACTTCACATTGGAGTTGAAAATCCGTATCTTATTTTTGATGCTGAGTGATGTTGACCTCCATACAGACTTAAGAGTAATGAAAGCTTGTCT